ACATTGATCAATTATTAATTATTTTAAAAAATTGTTACACAAATTAGGTCATAACTAATTGTAACATGAATGACCTCAAGTTACAATTAGATATGACCTGTTAGTGTAACAATTTTTTAAAAAATAATTTATCGCACTTTGGTATGCTTTGATTAACGACACCTCATATAATGTGTATAAAATAAATTTATGACTTTCCCGAAGCATAATGATAACTATAAAAATCAAATTTCTTGATCAAAGATCAATAAAACAAACCTTGGATCATTAGAAAGTGTCTGTGAGGCAATTTTTTTATATACTCAATCTCTCATTCAACCAAAATGTAAAGTGCCTAACTTGAATGTAACGAAAAAAAAAACAATAAATTAGATAATATTTAAGTTCGTCCCATTTAGTCGATTCCCCTGCAATTCAATAAATTATATCCTGTAATTATGTATGGTTTTAAAAGAAATTCTGAGTATAAAAAATGTACATATTGTACTGTAAACAACCTAACACATCTCCTGCTTGGATTCAACTCAAGGATGGATAAGTGGAAATAAGGAAATTGATGATTACATTAAAGAACTTCAACTTAAAGCTACAGAATATGAGAATGTAGTTGAATGGATTCCTTTTAATAGATTAAATAATATCCAAGAGAATAGTGAAGGTTTTTTTTTTAGCAACTTGGCTAGATGACATACTAATAATTTCTGAGGATTCTACGTCTGATGATGGTTAAGTACACACAGTCACGTGCACTATCATGCATAGTGGACCTTAAAATATTGCCTAGTTCTCAAAGTTTAACGGACTTGTTAATAGAGGTAGGATATAAGCACTTTTATATATTTATCAATTTATATATTTTTATTTAAAAAGTTTAAAATCTACATAAAGGATAGCAAAGTCAAAATATATGAGTAACTCAAAGCATAACTACTAATGAGTACATGTTGATATTTGATAAATATAGTTCTAAAAGAGATAAGAGTAGTGGAAAATGCGTGTATTGTTCCCGATATAACACATTGTTAGCTTGGTGTCAGACATGTAACCCTCAGAGAATGAGCAGTTGATGATTTTATTAAAGAATTTCAACTTAAAACTAAAGAATATGAAAATCTAATAGAGTGTATTCCTTTTAATAGGTTAGGTAATATTCAAAAGAATGAAGATGAATTTTTAGTAACGTGGTTAGATGGAATACGAGTATCTTTAGGTGTAGGTAGAAAGAAGCAGTCCCGTACACAAACATACATAGTGGGGCTTAAAATATTCTCTAATATTCGAAGTTCGGAATTATTTATAGAGGTAAGATAATTCATTATTTTATTATTATTATCATTATATATATCTAACAAGTTTAAAAAATGTATAAAGGACAATGAATTTAAAGTATATAGACTGACTCAAAATACAATCACTATGAGTTCATGTTGATATTTGATGAATTTGACTCTTTAAGAAGTTATAGGAATGGAAAATGTACAGTTTGTAACCGATATAATACATCGCCGGCATGGTGCCAGACAAGCAATCCTCGGAGAATAGCTCAAGGATGGATAAGTGGAAATAAGAATGTTGATGATTTCATTAAAGAATTTCAACTTAAAGCCACTGAATATGAGAATGTATTAGAGTGGATTCCTTTTAATATATTAAGTAATATTCAAAAGGATAATGATGAATTTTTAGCAACCTTGATAGATGGAATACGAATGATTTCTGATGATGGAATACAAATAATTTTTAATGATAAGCCTTACTATGAATACACACAGTCACGTACACCATCATGCATAGTGGGACTTAAAATATTGCTTAATTCCCAAGGTTCGGTGGACTTGTTAAGAGAAGTAAGATAAATTATTTTTATTTTTATTTTATTTATAAAACTTTTTATTTTATATACTTATAATGTTTGCCTAATTATTAACGTTCAGTTTAAAAACTATATAAAAGACAGTGAACTTAAAATATATGGACTAACTCAAAATACAACCACTCATGAGTACACGTTGGTATTTGATAAATTTGATTCTATGAGAAGTCAAAAGAATGGAAAATGTACAGTTTGTTACCTATATAACACTTCAAGAGCTTAGTGTCATACATGTGACCCTCAGAGAATAGCTCAAGGATGGGCAAATGGAAATAAGGAACTTGATGATTGTTTTAAAGAATTTCAACTTAAAGCTACAGAATATGAGAATGTAATAGAGTGGATTTCTTTTAATAGATTAGATAATTTCCAAAAGAATGGTGATAAATTATTAGCAATCTGGTTATGTAAAATTACACTTAAAACATTGCATAGTTATCATGGCTTTTTAATTGAAGTGAATTAAAATTTTTTTTGCTGATACAGTATGGTAGGTTATTTCAATTAATTACATTATGTAACATGAATTTTTTTATATTTTATAAGTTTAAGCATCAAATGCTATCGGGACATAATAAAATTGGAATAACACAATTTGCTGCTACTGGCGAATATATGATTGTACTTGGAAGTACAATTAATAACGAAGATGATGAATTTGCTTCTAAAAGAAACTATGCCTGTAATAAAGATATTGATTATTATATTAAAGAATTTCAACCTAAAGCTACAGAATCGGAGAATGGGATTCCTTTCGATAAATTAAGTGGCATAAAAGAGATTGGCAAAGGAGGATTTGGTACTGTATATTTAGCTAATTGGCAACAAATATACTTCAAGTGAAAATGAAGATATATATTCACAGTCTATCAAGGTTATGCTCAGGATCAAAAAAAGATTTTAATGATTTTTTAAGAGAGGTATGTTAAGGCTATAATTTAATATTTGTCTATGGCGTGTACGTATCTTTAACTAAATAATTATTGTCGCGTCTGATGCTTGAAATTAGGGACTTCGATTTAAAAATATAAACCCTACCAAAATCCACTTATACTCTTTCATTATTAAAACTAACCCTAAAACCTAATCTAGCTATAAAAAAAAAGCTAACAAAATGCACCCCAAAAATTTTTGAAAATTTCATATTAAATTAAGGACGATTTTAACGCTCACCGGAGGTGAAATTCACCGGTTATATGATTAACCAATAAAATTGCAGGATCTCGTGTAACTATAATACAGAAATTTTAAAGAAAAAAAAATTAAAAATCATTAATATCTTAAAATTTTATTATAAAAACTTGCATCTTGTCACTAAGTAAAAGTTTTCAGCGCTTAATTTTACATATAATAGACACTCTAACCCTAATATAGACCTCGTCCTAACCCTAAAGTTAAAGAAAAAATGGGTTGTTTATTAAGAAATAATTAAACTGAATATATACCGGTGAATTTCACCTCTGGTTACTCTCAAATAAATTCTTAATTAAAATTTCAAGCATCAGAAGCGACAATTATTAATTTTATTAGTTTAGAAGTCATATGCATTGTAGGTTAAGTGGTAGTAATCTTGCAGTATATGGACTAACTCAAAATACTAAAACAGAAGAGCATTTCAATATGCTAATGAAGGAAGCCTTTGTAATTATCTAAAATTAAATTTTGAAGAACTTTTTTGGGATGATAAATTATCACTATTAATTGATATTTCAAAGGATTTAATTAAAATACATAAAGTAGGATACATTTATTGTAATCTTCATTATGGAAATATTTTACAACAAAGGATCATGGCTTGGTTCTATTAAAATAATATATTGCAGATTTAGGATTATCTCGAAAGAATGAAGAGCTCATATTAGAAAAAGGAATTTATGGAGTTATGCCTTATGTTGCACCTGAAATTTTATTAGGTCAGGAGTATACATCAGCAGCTGATATATATAGTTTTGGCGTTATTATGGTAATGACCTCCATCTGATATACACGAAGATGATATTAAACTTGTGCTAGAAATTTATAATTGAAAGAGACCTGACTTTTCTCCAGAAACTCCTAATTGCTATGTTGAATTGGCAAAATTATGTATACATTCAGACTTTCAACAACAACGACCTACTACTGTATAATAATCTTTCTGAATGGTATTATTTTATTCATCAATCGGAAGAGCCTGATGAATTTAATGAATTCGATGAATATGATAAACCTAATGAACCTGTTGTAAAATCAAAGAGCTTTATAAGAATATCCTGATATCTCATACGCAAGTAAATTTATTAATACACATAATATTATTGCTCAGTATTATAACGAAAGAAGTGATAAACTAAACTTAATACAGAATATGAAAAAGGTGATATTCCGATTATATGCAATATTTAAAATTATTTATATTAACATATAAATATATTAATCCTATTAATATTTATTAATGAAATATAGGTTCTTCTCGTATTAAATTTCATATTCCGGACAATTAAGCTATAAATATTTTCAGTAATTATTTTTACAGGCAAATTCAAAACCATTAGAAAATTGGCGTGTCCCCCCAAACCAAAACTCTGGCAAAACTCATCAAAAAAAATATATATATTTTTATTTATTTAAGTATTAGCAAAAATTTCATTTTATATTGATTTTATTATTATTGTTCTTATTTGTTCAAAAAATAACTGAAATAAAAAGAAAGCAAATAATAGTATTTTAATTATAGGACTGATATATACAACGAATATTAATATATGTATGTATTAAAAGTATATTCGTTAAGCTTTTCTCAAATAATTAGTGATCATGAATACATAAATATATGTATTATGATTTATAAGAGATACTTATTTTTGGTTATATATAACTGTTGGCAGAAGAATATCAATGCTAAATATTATGATACTCCATAAAAATGTCTATTTTTTTTTTTTTTTTTAACAAATCAAAAAATTATAATATTACGACAATACCATTGATATTAAAATTACTCGGTAAATTAATCCTGCTTTTTAAGTCCTAATTATTATTATCAGTATATTTTTAAAATTATTCAAAAACTCATTTTGGTGCATATTATTATTTGTAAAACTAAAGTAGCAATGAACATTATTTCTCTGTAATCAAATTATTGATCTTAATGATTCAACTTATCATAATATATCCAAAGTTCCATTATCAAAACCCCACATGCTCCAACTGCAATCACTGGCAAAACTCCAAGATTCCATCTTACAAACTGCCAATATCCAATTTTTTCACCTTTGTCTCTTAATATTTTATCCCACCTATTTAAGAAATATAAAGTTAGTTTTCAAAAATATACCATAAATTCCATCCTTCGCAAAACTAATTTTTAATTTTAAGCATAAACTTACATCAGTCCAGCCAAAGCACCTACAATTGTAAAACAAGCACCTATATTACTTCCAATAATTAACGCGTAAATACATCCTTGTCTTATTGCAGGTGTTACATGTGGATCCTTGTCAAAATTAGCATCCTGTAATACTCGACTTAGTAATACAGTCATTGGCAAATTGTTTAAAAAATTGCACAGGATAATTGATATGGCAGCAATAGATATGACTGCAATTGGATAAGTGGGTGTTAGGATTATGATTGCTTTTGCAAATATAGAGATCCAACCTAATGATGATAATGCTTTATTGAAAAGAAAATAATTTTAGAAAATTTAGAATGGTTAAAGATAAAGTGTTTTGCACTGATTATCATTTAATCTTTATTACGGTACCTTCAACAAGAATAAACATTCCTAACGTAAATGGCAATAAATTTCCTGGTAACCTTTCTACCACTTCATAAACTGTTGGTAAAGTATTTTTAAATCCATTAATTATTGGGTCATCAGAATCATGTTCCAGAGTGCCTATTATTATTGGTTTCTCATTTTCCTGTTTTATATTCGAACCAAAAGATCCATTCATCGATGAACTCTGCTTTTTCTTTTGAGAGCTTAAGTAGTAAGCTGGCGAGACACTACGAGGAGATATTTCTATATCAGATGATTTTTTTTTCGGCCGTGGGATTTGTAATGAAATTAATTTTTTTGTTGTTTCTTTCTCAGATTCAATTTTTTCATTATCTTCATTATTTACATCAGATTCACTATTTGTTAAATCATTAATGTCAATAATCTGTTCGCTTTCATCACTCTTCCTGTCAGAAATTTTTTCCTTTTCATCACTCTTTCTTTCGGAAATTTTCTCCTTTTCATCAAAATGTGAAGGATCTTTATTATTATTATCCTTCAAACCTTCATTTCTTTTTTTTAAATCAATATTTTTAACTTTATCTTTTTTTGTCAAATCATAGTAAATATCCCTAATTAACATAATCGCGGCAAAAGGCAATGTAACTTCCCATACACTTATATATGTGAAACTAGTCCCCATCAAAGCGATTAAACAGCAGCATAACACCATCACTCCAAATATTGCACCTTTCCTATCTTTCAACTTACTACTGGGATCAAGTTTTTCCGTAAATACTTTATCTGGTATTAATCCTGAATGTCGAAACATGGTGTAAAGCGCAAAGTACGCGAGAATCATAGATACGATAGTTGGAATAATCATCCAAGCACTGTAAGTTAAGAATGAAATTCCATAAGCTTGAGCGACTATTACATTTGTAGGATTACCTACGTAAAGGGTCATTGATGCTATTAAATGTGAAAGAAAATGTAATTGAGTAATTCAAAAAAAAAATTTTTTTTTTAGAAAAAGATTAAAATAATGAAAAGGGATAAATGAAAAAACAATTAAATTTTGTTACCTATATTTGCAGCTACAAATTCAGAAATCAAAAATGCAGTTGGAGGCTTAATATTTGCAGCCTTGGTAAAATATACCAGGAAAACTATTAAATAAAAATAAGCCTTAAAAGGGAATAACATTCATATTTTGAATTATATAAAAAAAAATTTTACTTGTTCCTGTCAATACAACTACATCATTACTAGTAAAAGCACTCATTAGATTAAACAAAATATAAAAATATGTGAATAATTTTTTTCCATTATTTCCACTTCTGTTTGAAAACCCATATGCACAATATTCTACAAAGCCTGTTACGTCCAATGATATACATATATAAGCCTTTTTTTAAAATTAAAATATATATATATTAATAAACATTCAATACTGTATTTTTAATGAATTTATAAACTTACCAAAGCGAAAAATAAAATCATTATACTATATGGTTGTATCCCCTCATCTCCTACAAACCCTCTCACTACCACTTGAAATCCGATACTCCTAGTAGCCAATAATATTACTATAGCAATTAACGGAGATGTAGCCAAATTTATTCTAAATTTTATTTTTTTGTCATGTTTTGAGTGAAGTATTGGAATTACCGGAAGACGATCAGAATAAGGGATATTAATGTCTACGGGAAATATCACAAACACTATTGCTACTAGAAAAAGTACAAGCGCAAGATAGGATGATATCGTTAGGGTTTGTGGAGAGAATTCCATAGTTAATCCGAACTATCCTATCGTAAATAAATTACAATTAAACAAAATAAGTGTTACACTAAATTTAAGTATTATAACAATTTAGGCTTCATGTTTGTTAAACCTGACATACACATGCGCTTTTGTTATTAAAAATTTAAATAAGAACTAGTTTTGAAACTCGTTTCGCAAAAACTTGCAAATATTTTTTGTTTTTTCCTGAGATAAATTTCAACTCGTCTCATGTATTTACTTATATATATATCTGATATTTGGATAATTGGAAAAATCCGCAAGTTTTTCAATTGTTCATTTTCTTGTAATTGAACCTTATTTACTAAATTAGATAAGCTGATATTAAAATTAGCCAAGCAGGTTTTTAGTTCAACTAGCTAATTAACATAGATACTGCTTTGACTCTCACATAGGCATTAATTTTCAATATAGTTGGCTTAATTTTTGTCTAAGAAAAAAAAAACTATACCATTTTTATATAAGGTTAAGGGTGAATTTTTTTGTGGCTCCTAAATTCTGCAATGATTGTATTAAAAATATTTCTAGAATTCCGTAAAGAGTAATAAAAAATCAAATTCTGCAATTACATATTTGCATGCTACCAAGGAAATCTAAATTTGGAATGTTTTGCAGAACAGAAATACAGAATTTAAAAA